GTGGAAATCACAGCTGGAAGCTTCTCTCTGTGTGCCTGGGCTGCATGAAACAGTGTCTGAAAGCTCATTAAGGTTTTTATAGCATTGTCAGAACGCCTTTGTGTAATAGGAGGGAATCAGCCAAAATCGATTGTTGTCAGCTGCAGTGACCTGATCTCAAGCTAACCATTCCTTGTGTTGATTTAATTGTCAGGCAGAAACAAATAGGAGATGGGAGGGACTCAAATTTGGATGGGTACAGGAAGAAGTAGGGTGGAATTGAAATGGCATATAGAACCATGATTGGTCTAGAGCAGGCTTCCTCAAACTCGGTCCTCCAGATGTTTTGAGACTACAGTTCCCATCTTCCCTGACCACTGGTCCTTCTAGCTAGGGATCATGGGAGGTGTAGGCCAAAAACATCTGGAGGGCTGAGGTTGAGGAAGCCTGGTCTAGAGCAGCTATCGTTAAACTTTCTGCATAGTAGATCCCATTTGGTTTCCACCACCGTTCCCCACAGGCAAACTTGTAAGTGGGAGGCATAACTTAAAAGTTTGCACTAGCATGATAAGGTAAAGGTAAAGGGACCCCTGACCATTAAGTCCAGTCATGGCCGACTCTGGGGTTGCGGTGCTCATCTCGCTTTATTGGCCGTGGGAGCCGGCTTACAGCTTCCGGGTCATGTGGCCAGCATGACTAAGCCGCTTCTGGCAAACCAGAGCAGAGCATGGAAACGCCGTTTACCTTCCTGCTGGAGTGGTACCTATTTATCTACTTGCAGTTTGATGTGCTTTCGAACTGCTAGGTTGGCAGGAGCAGGGATCGAGTAACGGGAGCTCACCCCGTGGCAGGGATTTGAACCGCCGACCTTCTGATCGGCAAGTTCGAGGCTCTGTGGTTTAACCCACAGCACCACCCGCGTCCCCACTAGCATGATGCAAGCATTGATTAGGCACCCTTAAAGTGCAATCTCCTGACCAAAACAAAAATGTGCTTGTGTAGGGGGGAGGGGGCTAATCACAAAAGTCCCTGTAAGAAGTCTTGCAGGAAAAAAATGCATCTAAGAAAAGTAGAACTCCTGGGTAGGAAGATTTACAGTTGGAAACACCCTTCTTAACAAAAAATCCAGAGGTATACAGTGGAACTACAGTGTAAGAATACAGTCAGCAGTCTATAGCATAGAATATATTTGAATGACGCCACATTGTTCAAGAGACGTTGTTCCCTACCTTGGGTGAAAATCTTCAGCCATCGGCCTTAGCAATATACAAAATATAGAAATAAAAAGTCAGTTATATAAAATACATTTTAGGGTTTTGAATCAATAGTCAAATAGTGGATCTTATTCTGATTGTCCCAGCTAAAAACCTTGCAGCCTTTGCTGTCATCTGCTCATCTTGATCTGCCAAGAAAAAGGACACTGTGGCAGTGGTTGGGCGACCCAGAATGGACAATAAAAGAGGGGTGATAATCTCATTCCTCAAGTCTTTATAAAGAGTGCAAGCCAGAAGGGTTGCACCACTGATTTGGTACTGCCATCTCCACAGGGACATAAGCTCTTTTCGTGTGGAATCTGCTGGAATCGTCCCTCAAGTACAGCCGAGGGCAATACAATCAATCTTGTGAGAGTAAAAGCGCATCTATATTTTAGAATTGCTAGGTTATGCAAATAGGGTGCCAGTGAGTCAAAATGGGAAGGTGGAAAATAGTCATACCATGGGCAAAATTTTCTTATTGTGGCCAAGTTGTTCTGATGCTCGATATCATTTAGGCGCTGAAAAATTAGACTGTTTGCTTTACTAAAACCCAAAGTGAGTAGCTGTTGTGGTGATAAACCACAAGAGTGAAGTTTTTGATAGACAATTGTAGTCCAGGCGCTCTTGTGACAATCTTGTAGCACTAGGGATATTAGACCAGGGAGATTTGAGTTTAGGCAAAGCCAATAGTTCAGCGTCCTACGCCAGATCCATAGTTCTACTGAGGGAAGATTAGCCTCTAGGTGCAAAGATGCGTTTGGGGCACAGGGTGGTACAGAGAAAATTTGCCTTAAGAACTTTGATTGAACAGCTTCTGTAGATCCAAGGTGAGTGCCTGTCCAAATCTGAGCCCCATATAATAACAGTGCTACGGGTTTAGCTTGGAACACTTCCAGGATTGATGGTATATGTTTACAACCTTTTGTGTGGAAAAAGCATGTTATAATTTTCACGCTTTGGGACGCTTTTTCTTTTGCACATTTCTGGTGTGCTCCCCATGACCCCATAGACTGCAAAATAAGGCCAAGATATTTGAAAACTTTGACCTGTTCAATTAGCTGGTTGTCCAAGTGCCATCTATGGGCCCTATAGTTTCTTGAGAAAACATGACTTTGGTTTTCTTGTAATTCACGGCCAGCTTTTGTTTGGGATAGAAGAACCGCATCATCTGCATATAATAGAATTGAGATGGGTTTTGTGGCCAATTTAGGGGCAAGATACTCTGGAGATGTTATACACTGGACAATATCATATACAGTGGTACCTCGGGTTAAGAACTTAATTCGTTCTGGAGGTCCGTTATTAACCTGAAACTGTTCTTAACCTGAGGTACCACTTTAGCTAATTGCTGCCGCTGTGCAATTTCTGTTCTCATCCTGAAGCAAAGTTCTTAACCCGAGGTACTATTTCTGGGTTAGCGGACTCTGTAACCTGAAGCGTCTGTAACCCGAAGCGTCTGTAAGCTGAGGTACCACTGTGTATATAAGCTGAACAGTGCCAGGACTAGAATACACCCTTGCTTGACTCCCTTTATGGCTGGTTCCCTCCCTTGGGTGAACATCTTTCAATTTTCTTCCACCCCTGAAATTCTATTCTGCTCTTCTTGCCCCACTTCTTTTTAGCAACATGGGAATACATGAAGCTGCCTTTTGTCTATTTGACCATCTAGCTCAGCACACTGACTGGCAGAAGCTTTCCAGGATCTCGGTCAAGTGGACGTCACCAGCTGTACCTAGAAATGTTGAGGATTGAACTGCATGCTGGGGGCATGTTCCAATCATAGCAAGTTCATTGGCTCTCTTGGAGGGGGTGCATTTGGCTATTTGTGGCACCACACTTGCTGATTTGTGAGCAGTACCAGAATTCCCAGAGATGATAGAAGCACATCTGCCATTTTTAAACCACTTTTGTATTTCATGGCTGTGTATTTTTTCCCCTTCCCCTCCTGGCTGATCATGCATTGGATATGGTGGCATATCTCCAGTCCTGGTGCAATAGGATTGTTTTGTCTGGCACATATAAATTTAACCAATGCAAGCTTATTTATTACCTTCACACAGAGATGAAACATCATTTATTTAATTAGCTGTTGATGTCTGTGGCATGTAGACTACATTTTATATGGCTCCTCAGTGGCCATAAATAAACTTAATTTAGAGCGCTGGAGGGAGTGCTTATTAAGAGTTCCTTTTTGCTAACATCAATTATTGCTGGCATTGTACAAGCATTTATTTATTTTACATTTTATTTATTAATGAAAGTGCACTTTTAAAATATTGAAATAAACCAAAGATGGGAATTCAGCTGGATTTCTCACCATAAGCAACATAATTTAAAATCCTGAACATCTCTAGTGACCATGATACCATGATTTAGAGTTTGATTTGATTCAGTATAGCAGCAAGTCCTGGTTGTTTTGCTGAAATGAATCCATCCTCAGTCAGAGCTGTATGCAAACAACCCTGCTAGTGGGCAGAGAAATCAGGGTAGCATTTTATTAAACTTATCCAGGGAAAGCAAAAATTCTCCTAAAGTTTCTCAGGAGTGGGACTCATTACCAGTGATGGTAGTACAGCTTATCCCCCCTGCCCCCCGGTATTTGTTTATTGGTTTCTTTCTGTTAAGAAGACAACAGTCACAACTGTGTTAACAACCTTGCCACCATTTTGCATCCTCCATTGACCTTCCCTGTCCTAGTGTAGTTCTGGGACATTATATGTGTGTATGGCGGGGTGGGAGGTTGGTCACTGTAACAAAATGGTAGAGAATATTTTGCAAGGTGGCCTTTTTCACAGGAGTGAGGGAGGTGGTAGAAATAATCTAAGAGGCTTTCTCAGAATAATGCCTTTTGAGAAATTTGAGTTTAGCTCTAAGTCCCAACCTACAATTTAAATCCCAAGTGTAACAGCTCTGGTGGGCTTCTTTTGGTGGGCTGAGCTCCACAACAGCAGGGGCTTTCCCATTCTGTATAATACCAGCAGCAGCTCATCAGATGCACTGAACATGTGCATACACAGCATGGCATAGAAAAACATACATCTGCATGGCTCTCTGTATTTTTCATTGTAGTCCCACAAAACTCTGGACTATGCCAATGAGTTTCAATATGCATCTAGTACAATGAATGAGGTGATGGTCCTGAATTGCCCTGCTAAAAGGGTGGATCTAAATGTGATGAACAACACCGGGACACATGTCAATCAAGCTCCCTCTTCCCTCGCCTCTAATATGTAGTGACAGAAAAAGTATGATTTGATCAGAGGGGGAGGTGCTGGAAAACAATCCATTGCCCAGCATCTTGACCAGGCTTGAGTCAGAGCTCATTGGATTAAGTGCCTTTGAGCCAGAGATAACTGAATCAGGATCCTCAGAGTCCATACCTGTAGATTCTGCAATTTCCTGCAGAATCACCCCCTTCCATGTCAGGGACTGCCAGTCCCAGACTGTCTAGTCAGCAGAGGCAATGAATTTGTGGGGAGTTGTCCAAGAGATGGAAGGGTGCTAAAACTCCAAGGCAGAGACTTGCCCCTTTAAGGCCTTATGTAACAGGTGAAGCTTGGGAGTGGTGAACCCGGAGGCATAAAAGTCTTCTGCCCAGTCCTATGCTTTTGTTGGAGCAAGGTGTTCTCTTGGAGGTTTCCATGGTGCTGCAATTCCTAATCCGCCTTACACCATTCAAATAGGAACATAGGAAGCAGCCTTGTTTGAAGCCAGATCATTGGTCCATCTATCTCAGTATTGTTGTATCAAACAGGGATCTCTACCTGGAGATGCTGGGGTTTGAATCTGGGACCTTCTGCATGCAAGGCATATGTTCTTCCATTGAGCTATGGCCCTTCCCCATTGTGATTTGGCCTTTGGCCAAGGCACCACAGTAGTTATCAGTGTAGAGTGAAAGTGTGGAATACACACAATCTGATGATATCAAATCATGAATTTCTGTTATTGCATGTTGTAGGAAAAAGGAGGAGCACCTTGACACAGGGTTGCAGTTTTCAGTGGCAGGTATGTGTTTTCAATCAAGTCTTGGTGCACAGCATGGTGACAGAGACATGGTGGTGGCAGCAGGAAAACAGCCAGCATGACAGAGTTGTAGGGATTTGCTAAAGCAACTTATTGTCTCGACAGTAGAGCTTTGAGACAGCAGGGGAAAATAACAGGATCTCCAAACATGCTGAAGTAGTTATTTGCAAACTGTGAATGTTATGAGTTTGTACTAAACAGGAATATTTATGAGCTCTGCCTAGGGGTTTGTAACACCTGAGAGGTCACGGATTAGCAAAAGTATTAATGTTCTAACCATGTAAGATTATAGTTAGCAGCCTCTTTTACAGGGTCTGCAAAATAGAAAGGCAGCAGTATGATGTCTCAGGCGGTAGGCCGGTATTGTTATTGTCATGCCACATAATTGGGCAACTATCATTTGGGCTTTTTATCAATGTTCTTTCTTCTTTTTCCTTTTCTTTTATCCAAAGCTTCAAAAGATTAGCGACTGCAGTTTGCACCATGAAGTTATATATAGGCTGTGCTCTTGGAGATATGTCTTTCCCCTAACATTTACAGCCCAAATCCATAAAGTCATGAGTGTGCTTAATCAGTGTATTCAGCAAAAAAATAATCAATTTCATTTTGTGTCAGACAGAGTTGGTTTGTGTAGTACTTCATCACATACTGAGATTGAAATGTTGCAGAGCCTCTGAGGTCTAGTTTTTCTGCTGTGCTTTACAACAAGGGAAACCAAATAGAGAGAAGTCTAGCACAGCCTGACAGTAAGAAAAAAAGAGAAAAGAATGCAGAGATAATAAAAATGCAAGTCATTATAAGGGAACCAAAAGTATAGTAAAGAGCTAAGTTCTACAAGCTGGTATTTCTTACCTCCATATGTGTGACCTCCATATCAGATTGAATCTTAAAGCATCTGCAGTTGATTGTGAAACTGATTAGTTTCACAATCTTGATTAGTGCTGAACCTTAGTTGTTTTAAGTATTGAAGTGAATCTACTATACATTTTGGTAAGCGGTTTGTCTCTCCACCTGTCTGTTCTCTATACATTTGAATTGGCAAGGGTGACAATTAAACATTGCAATAATTCTTAGGCAATGCTGGGTACCAGTATCATGTGAAGAGACTCTAACTTTTCCTTGGTACCCTGTGATCCAGGGGTTTTGAATTACTATTATTTTCCAAAATGACCTTCATTTCAGTTATATTCATATTTTCCGCTTCTTTATCAGGGCTTTCGTTTTCTCCAATCAATTATTATTTTTTAAATTGGGCAATGAACATGGCCATCTATTCACTGCTGATGGAGTGACACAACCAGAAGATCCTGAAATGAAGTATTCTGGAGGAACTGAGCCAAACTGGAATCCTTTGGATCATCAGCCAGTCTTGCTGCTATTGTGCAATGGCATTGGGCCTTATTATACTGTTCACCCCATTGCAATGTGGCTGAAGATGCAGTGGTAACTACTACTCTGTAAATTTCTGCTGTGTGTATAGATTTGGACTGTAGCCTAGGAGAGCATATTTCCCTTGATATTCCTAGCAAACAACACTAGATATGGGGGAGCAGCAGTCAGCACTCCTTTTGTGGCACAAAGCCTACATCATTGGATCCATGCCTCCAAGCCCTGGCACTCAGCAATGACCGCACTCTGCATTAACTGGGGGGTGGCTTTTGCATGGTTGCACACAGCCCCCCTGGAGACTACCCCACAAGGTAGCTGGCTTCACCCCCCCCCAAGCTGGATACCTGGAGGTTCCCGCCTACCCTCGTCAATCAGCCAATCTCGGCTGGGGGGGGGGCTGGGGAGTTGGCCAGGTAGAGTTAGGACCACCCACGCTCACAATAGAGACTGTAATTTACCTGTTGGTCCTCAGTCAGCTCCTGAACTTCCCCCACCCTGCTCTCCCTCAGTTTATGCCTTCTTTCGCAGTTTAACCTTCTTTACAGCTTCTTTACAGGCACTGCTGTGGTCCTAGATGGTTGCCATTGAGGGACTGGGAAGGAATTTCCGTGCATTGGCAAGTTTCATCTTTCCCATAGTGAAACGTCACAACTTTGGCGGTTTGTAGGCTTTTGGTGGAATCCTTTAGTCTATCTTCCCTCAATTGGGGGGAGGGCACGAAGCGATGATCCATGCCCCCCCTACACTGGTGATCCCAGGGTTCCCCGTTAAAGGGGTTATTTTGAGGGGAGGCACTGGGTTGTCAGAGCTCTCCCCTACAACGCGGCAAAATGAAGGGCAGGCTCTCTGCTTGAACAGACGTTCTCCAGAGTCAGCCCCACACATCTTGGATAACCCTGATGTTCCCCAGATCCCCAGCTGGGGACTGGGAGGGATGAACGCCCAATACCTAAGCCAAGGTCTTCCTAGATCTGAGAATTTAATAAAGTTGTGGCCAATTTTAATCCTATAACATGTTTCAGGTGTCATTATTCCTCCCGGGGGTCATCTGGAGCTTGGGGGTCTCCGCCTGTGCATGCAGTGATCTCATCCCATCATACCTAGACACCTTTGAGAGGCACCAGCAATTCTCAGAGGCCCAGTCAAGGCATTTACTTGGGTATGAAAGGGATGTGAATCAAAGCTTCCCTATTCACCATTTCTTTGGCTATTAGCTGAGATGCTCTCAACAAAGCTCCACTGTCCTTCTGTCTGTTTGTTCTCCCCACTTCAAATGACAGTCTTTTCCCTCCCTTTCCTGTAGGAACATCTTATTGTAATTTGAACTTGTTTGAAAAGCCACTGTTATTTGGAGAGATAAATTATGAGGTAGGCTTGAAGGGTAACAGAGAAGTTGTTATACAATTCTCAAAAGCCTTCATTTCCATTTTCCTCTTGACTAGCCTTCCTCAAACTGGTGCCCTCCAAATGATTTGGACAACAATTCCCATCATCCATGGCTATTGGCCATGATGGCTGGGGCTGATGGAAGTTTTAGTACAAAACATCTGTAGGGCTCTAAGGTGTTGAAAGCTTAGATTTTTGAAAGCATTTCTCTTGCTAGGAGATAGTAACATTTGGCAGTTTCTGGACTATTCCCCATGAAAACTCCCCCATGAGGAATCAGATATGGGGATAGATAGATAGATAGATAGATAGATAGATAGATAGATAGATGATAGATAGATAGATAGATATCACACACACACACACACACACACACACACACACACACAGCTTCCCCTTCCATTTTTGTGTGTTCATATTTGCATTGGTGTTCTATAAACAGGAAGCCCAACCTAAGCATTCTCCTTTTGTATGGTCTGCACACTTTTTGTTTAGCCCTATTTGGACAATCTCGACATATGTAAAAAACCTACCGGTATGTTCTGCCCCTGTGACCATCCAGTGCACGGTAGGCTGAACGTCTATTTGAGGAAACTTGCAGTATGATTTTGAATAATTCAGATTAGAGGAGGCTTCCCACCTTTGCCCTGTGTTCCTTGATGGTGATAGGAATTGCAGAGTGTGCATTCCTTCCTCATGTGTAGAATGCCCAAGCGAGGCTTTTGTGAAGTGCTGATCATGCTAACACAGTATATACATGTTTGTCTCTACACATGTCAGTGTGAAAATGTGAAATGCTTAGCAACAGACATGACCAGAGATGATGCAGATGTGATACCTTCCCTACCTATGCGTTCAGACACTACACTCTAGTGATAGACATTATCAAATGAGCAGATTAAAAATTCAAGTGGTGCCGAGGAGAGCTAAAGTTTAATCTTCGAAAAACAAGCTTTTTATTTTTGTTCTTATGGATCATAGATTTTCTCTCTTTCCACACTCCAGTGGCAGGTTTGATGGTAGGGTTTATTGATGATTCATGAAATCCTCTATGTGAGTTATAAGGCAGGCAATTTCAGAGAGCTCTCCAAATGAGATGAAAGGTATTAAAGCACAGATGTTCCACCCATTCGTTCCCTCTTTGCATAAGCTAGCACCAAAAGGGAGAAGATGTGCATCCATGAAAGCAATGAGTGAGAAGAAGCATTGTACATGGAAAAGACTACTTATGGAAGTCTTATTCCGAGCTATTCATTACATGGTGCACATGCTGCTATGAAATGGACCAAAGATTTGGACTCTTATATAAATACAAATTCTGTCCACTCTGGCATGGATATGACCAGATGGTTTCTCAGCTGAATTCCACATTGAGCAAAAGTGGGATTATTAATATCAAAGTCTCGCTGCATGTGTGAATTTCACAGAACTAGAGAACAAGATCATGGATGAATGTTATGCACAACTTTCTCAGTTGCACGTTCAGACCCAGAGACCTCCCCCCTAAATAAAGTCACACTTGACTCAAATTTTAGTTTTGATTTTTGGCAGAATTTAGGCCACAACTTTATTGATTACAGTAGGTGAGTGGGTTTCATAGGCTCTGGTTTGACTAGCTCCCTGCACCCTTGCAGGCAGCGCTGACCCAGGGCACCATCATAGGTCAGCCAAGGGTGAACACCTGGGTAGGTGAAAAGCCGGGAACTAAGTTCACCTCCCAGATGCCCCCCTGGACTCAGGCACGGGCACAACCCCCTCTTGGGGGTTGACCAAACCAGTTGAGTTCCTGGATTCCTTTAATGGAATACCCTTCACATAGGGATGGCAAAACTGTTCTCCCATTCCTATCACCTGAACCAGAGCCTATCCGCAACCTTACAAGTTGTGACGAATTGCTACGTGGCAGGCGAAACCCAAATGGCAACAGCCAATCAGCCAAGTGGGGAAATTCCTGCTGTGCCCCTGTCCCAATGACAGACGACACATGACGGCATAGCAAGGTCAATCGCAAAATGCCCTAAAAGTGGGGAGAGGTGGG